CCATTAATTAGTAAAACCATTTAAAACGAGCTGATTAAATATTTCTGCCTTATTTATTTTTGGATCATTTATTTATTTACTTATTTCCCCCCCTCCTATATGCATTTTAGAACGATAATTTGTTTTTACTGATTTCTATTTACTCATTAATTATTTTTCATATTCTTACTGATTTTATTTTGTATTGAAAGGCATCGATTCAGGTAAAAATTTAAATTAAATCCTAGTTAAAAATTTACTATTAACAAGAAATTTTCTTTGGCATTTAAATAAGAAGGAATACCACGGGTCATTTTCACAAAATTCAAGCTTTCAACTATCTAATGAGAGCGATGTCGAAATTCCCATATGCTAGCTGAGTCAAAACATTTCTTTTTCATGGGTATTAATAACAAATTATTGTAGGTAATTTCCAATTTATAATTGAGTAAATTGAGTTATTGAAAAATTTATGATTGGGTAAATTGAGTAATTGAATGACTGAAAAATTTTATAAATGTTTATATGATCTCAAATATTTCATAATTATTAAAACTCAGAATTAAAGTTTCAACTTTGAAATATTATCTTTAACGTAGTTTCGTGTTTGAACCGCAAGTATATGTTTATGTAATATATTTTGATTTGTGACACGAGTAAGAGATAAGTAAAATATGATACTTTGTTATAAAGGTGGAAGAGATAAAGGTCAAAATGATTGAAAAAAAAATATGCGTGACATCATTTATAGATAGTTTCAAATCCGGTAAAAGACAATTCAACGAAAGAGATATTTTGGATCTTGAAGTACTTGGGACATTTCGACCGATTAAGAGGGCGTTTTACAGCAGGAGAAATCCTTCATGGCAATTTTTCACCCACCTACATTAATAATTTAAAATTTAAAGGGAAAAGCTAGATCAGGTAAACATAAAGTAAATCCTAAAGTTTCAAACCTGCAATATTTAAAAAAAAACTATTTAATTGGAAACAAATATGACGCATTAAGGAAGCAATCAAAAATATGATAGTTCGATTGCAATTTTTAAAGCTCCTACTCCACTACAAATTGCATGAATCTTATTAAAACAATGAGACGGCAATTTTAGACTTTTGTCTTGCTCTCTTGATAGAAAAGGTTTTGCTTTTATGACTTTCGGAGCTGGTACCCCCTGAAGACGTCAGCTTTGGTTGTCATATCTATCCAATTTTTCATATTTTCATTGTCTCACTTATTAAAACCATGACTTTCTGTTGAAAATATTGATGACAAATAGTTAAGTTTCCCGGTGAAAATTTTTGAAATAATTCTTTATAGTGTCCTTTGTAACGCTCATTGCATTCTTGATTTTACAAACAATATGATATTTCAGCTACCATTTTCATACAAATTTGAAGCTGAACTACAAAGTTCATGGCAGTGTTTTAAAAAATGACTTTTAATAGAAAAAATTGATGGTCAAAAAATTTAGGTTCCGAATTTCAAATTTGCACAAATATTTTAAAATTTCTTCGTAAAGTTGAAGTTGAGTTGAATTTTCCTGAGGTATAAGAGATTTTGACATTCAATTTAAAACAGTGTTTTCAAGCTCGATTCTAAAGTATTTCTGTATCTAAAGAATGACTCCCTTGGAAGTTATTATTATTATTATTATTCAAAAGTAGGCTTAACGATCATATTTTTAAACTGAATAAAGTGCAAACATTTTTGGAATGTCTCAACATGTCTTCAAAATTAACGTAAGTCAGCTTCTTCTCTTGCCCTTTTCTGAAACCTCACGCTTATGAGCTGCGAATTTATTGTTATTCATATAAGACATTTAGAATTGTAGCAAATTTTTTAATATGCAGAAATAATAGTAGTTTTCTAACATGTTGTGAGTTTTTCGAAGTATTTAAAACGTTAATTTATGATTTTAATTTCGTCATCTAAAATTCTAACATCAAACTGATATACAAAATTATTTTGCTTTTAAAATGTTAATAGTTTTATAAAATACATTTTTGATCATCCAAAGTGCTTTTTTTTTTTAACAGCAAGGGTACTGGGTTCCAGTCCATAAAGACCATGCTCACTTATATCCTCGTTCTTTGTCTATAGCCACAGTTTAAGTGCCTTCACTTAAGTGCCTTCAAGCAAAGCTATAATTTTATACAGCAAAAGACATCTTTTTGTAAAGAACGTATCGTGTATGCCAGTGTTTCCCAAAGTGTGGTACGCGTACCCCCCAGGGGTACGGGAACAGTTCAGCGGGGGTACACGTTCTAATGCAAAATATCTTGCAACAAACGAAATTTTCAATTTTTTTTATTGAAAACAAATCTAGCCATGAAAATTTACTATTACGTACTTTTCTATTGGCTATTTTTTTGCAGTTAACAGTTAATAATGAGTGGTGTCAACAGACAGTTGTCATTTTTAACTTTTGTGAAATTTTTTAATAGTAAAAAATACATTCATTTTTTTATTAGTGGTACACAGCGCTACGAAACATTTAGAAATGGTACACAAAAGTCATAAGTTTGGGAAACACTGGTGTATGCTATCTTGCTTTAGAACGGACAAATAACTAAAATATTTTTAAAGTTATTAAAACTTTTTAAAAATCGCCACTTTGGCGACATTTCTCCACCTATGAAAATTACTAAAATCAGTGCCTTATTCCCAATTTTTGCAAAATTTCATGAGCGCTCACTTTTTTTCTCACTTTTTCTTTTTTCTTTTTTTGCTTTACGTTACAATTTGCTCTTTGCTGCGCAAAATCTAAAGGACTTAGAAACTTGGAAACGAAGGTGAGTAGAAGGAGTGCAATGGAATGAAAGAAATAACATTTGATTATTAACTACAGAATTGTTAAATGTTAAACTTTAACTAAAAAAAAAAACTATGTTCGTTTGATTCGTAACCTGCTGAAATGCAGCTACGGAAAAAAAAATTTGACTCACTGAGAAAGCCGTTTTCCTTCATTAATTATATTATATTTTTTTTCTCGAAATTCTAATTTGTTTGAAAGTTATTGCAATTTTTGTTATGAAAATTATTGCAAAAAGGAAAGGTCATTGAAAGTTATCGAAACTTATTGCAAAATATTGCAAATTTTCAATGCATTTTGAAGTTGAATGGTAATTTTGCCTGAAAATAATTATCTAAATGTCATATTCTTCCTGAAAATAAATCTGAATTTTAAAGTTCAAATAAACAGTTGAAACATTAATTTCACGTATTTACAAAGCGAAAACTAATTCTTTTTAAAACATCAATGTTTTTTTAAATTTTTTTGAAGTCATTTTTTAAAAATTTTACCTTAACCTTACCAGTAGAGTTTCAACTTCGTCTCAAAGTGGCAGCCGAAACGACAGAGATTTAATGAATTTCATTCTAAAATTTAAAGTAAAAATTTTACGTATAAATATTTTAGAAAATAATTTTACGCATTTTCACTTTCACACACATGTATAGTTTTTGGGCTGAACAATTTCTTCACGGGTCATTCTTTAAATTGTTTTTCCGTCATTTTGAAGTTGAGCAGTACATTTATCTGAAAATAACAATCATGTTCTCATATTTTCGTGTGCATAACCCTACATTTTTACGTTGAAAAGGACAATTAGACAAAAAATTTCCCACATTTGCAAAGCAAAATAAAAACTCTTTTCAAATCTCTATTTTCTTCTTTTCTTAAAATGGTTACATACACTCTGGAGTTGAGTTTTAACTTTGTCTCAAAATGACAAGAAAAATATCACGTTGATAATGAAAGTAAGACTGAAATGTAACGTTTCAAGAAGCACTTCAAAGGATAATTTTATATATTTTGATCGCGAAAACTATATTTTTTGATCATTAATATTTTCCAAGCGCGTCTCTTTTTTGAATGTTACCATGCATTTTGTACTTGAGCTGTAACTTTTAAAATGAGATTCAAAATCTAAAATTTTCGGGGAAAATAATACCAATTTTAGCTATAAAAAGGACAGTTGAAACATTAGCTTTACACATTTGCAGCGTGAAACATAAATATTTTTTACAAAAGTTAATTTTTAAAATCCTACCATAAAACTTTGGAGTTCAGCTTCAAAATGGTCTCAAAATTACTGTCGAAATATCAAAGTGTTGGCAAAATTTAAGGCTGAAATTTACCGTATAACAACAGACACATCAGAAAGTTTTTCCTTACACAATTTCACCATGAAACATGTACATTTTGGGCATCAATAACTTTTTTAGGGAGAGTAATTCTTTTAAATAATTTCATAAATCTTAAAGTTGAGGAGCAACACGGTCAGAAAACGACTTTCTAAATCTGATATTCGTAATTTTACCTCTCATAATCATAATTTTAGTTGAAAGTGTCATTGAATTTTGATGTTACAATGGGCAATTTAGGTTTGCTCCTGGTAATCTATATTTTTCGGTCATTAATATTTTCTAAAAGAATTAAATTTTTCCCCCATCTCCACTATCCACTTAATTTAGGTGAGATATTAAAAAAAAATCTAAGTAGAATGAGATGGACCGGGCATGTAGTGAGAATGAGCCCAGAACGAACAGCATTAAGAGTCTTCAATGCAACCCCCTCCAATGAAAGACCAAGAGGAAGGCTCAAAAAGAGATGTGAAAGACTGTGTGGATGAGGATTTTACCATCCTAAAAGTAAAGAACTGGAAATTAATTGCTGGGAGAAGGGCAGAATGGGGAAAGCTTCTGAGGAAGGCCCAAGCTCACAAAGGGCTGTCGTGATGGTGATGATTAAAAAACAATTAATGTGTAAAAGATACAACACAATGCCTTAAACAAAGTGGAAAATGAATATTTTTTCTGTTAGAGAACGATTTTGTTTTGAAAAAATTACTACGTCATAATTTATATCTTTACTCTTTGGCTTTACGTTTTGAGCGTATACAAGTTTGTACTATTAAAATCAAATAAAACACTGACAACCATTAATATTGTAATTTTACTTTAACGTATCTCAAAAATATATTATATATTTTTTTCTCAATAAATTGGCACTACAAGATTTTTTTTTCTACACAGGGGAAATGATTTTCATGCATGTACAATTTATAATTCCATTTGTTTAGCACATATGTTCATTAATTCGACCACTTCTCGGACGACTAGAAAATGCAAAATCAGTGGACAAAACCGTTCGCCATCTGGTACTGCTGCGCGTCAACGATGACGCTTGTATACTGAGGTTGGACACTGTCATGTGCATTATTGCAACTATAGTCACTCGTCCCGTTGCTCGATGGCACACAATACGTTTTATCGGCGTAACTGTCACATTTGGATAACGCGTACTTGATGCTGGAATCGAGGTGTGATTGCTGCTGTCGTGCCGCCTCATAGTAACAGGAATCGTTGTAAGAAGAATCAGTCGGTGAGCAACTGGCAAAGTTTCGTTGCTGGAACTGGTGCTGTTTCGTTAACCGGGAGTTGAGAAAGTCAGTGGGTCCCGTGGGACTCTGCAGATTGGTTGGGGTAATGACGGATTTGTAATGATTGCTGTGACTATTACCACTGCTGCGAAGCACAGGTCCTAAGGCACTTGTTGATGGTTTCGAAGAGCTGTTGTTGTTGTTATGCTGCTGATGGTGATGTAAGGGTGAAGATGTGGATGAAGTAGAACGAGGAGAATCTGCCCTTCCATTTTGAAAGCCTTCTAGATCTGATTCTGAAAGCATGGAGTCCGAAGGGCTGCTGAAAGGTCCGACGCTATTCGTAGTTGTATTGTATATTACATGGGGCACAATTATTTCATGGGGCTCTGCTGGGGCACCAGGGACGTATCCCACACTGGCGTTGCACAAATCTTGTTGAGATGGAATCACACAGGGAAGAGGTTGAAGAGCGTCTGGCTCAATATCTGGAGAGGACGATATGACAGATGCCTCACAAGGAGGAAAAGATGCATAATTGTGCATTGAATATCTGAAAGAGAGAATAATTATGTATAGCGTTATCACTTGTAATAGAAGAAACGCGTATAATTTTAAATGTGATGCATTTCGAAACATTTTCTTCAGTTTTAATATTTTAAATTTTTGTTTTCTGTTATTAATTTAAATATTTTTATTTAAAAAAAAGTTATAATTAACTTCGAGATATACAGAGAATAATTTAATAAATGATCTATCTCGAATTGACGTTTGTATCTGCTAAAATCGTTTCACATGGTGGGTTTGTGTTAGTTGATAACTTACAGTTCATTATGTTTTTGATAGATTTCTCTGAAATATTTTTGTTATGAACTATCCAAACTAGTTTGGAAAAGACAAATCAAAATTTTTTTCTGAAAAACTGTTATTATATCTTATGTTTATGTTGCTGTTATATGTTTACTGTCAGCTGTTTAGTTTAATAAAATATTCTGAAGTATCTGTAATATGCTACTTTAGTTAGGAGAGCTTAGATTCTGTTTAAAAAATATATATATTTTCTTTAATATTTTGGGCTAAGTTTAGGAGAAATTTGGGTTCGTCAACGGACATTTCACTAATTACTTTTTCCTAATAAAGGACCTTTTACACAATTATCTTTATGAACCTTTAGTTATGTTTCTCATTTTGAAAATAAACCATTTGCGAAATTCTTCTTTGGGGAATGGTGTCTATGACGTTTTTAATTATTAATTTTAAAATAACCTCCTAAAAATATTGTTTTGTGTTCTGTTCAAAAAAAAAAAAAAAAAAAAAAAAAAAAAAANAAAAAAATAAAAAAAAAAAAAAAAAAAAGAAAAAGAAAAAGAAAAAAAAAGAAGAAAAAAAAAGACCTTTGCAGAAAAAACCCAATTTTACAATAATTTTAAATTCAGATAATTATGAATAGAATTTTCATAAAAAGTAGGACTTTTCCCAAGAAGTCTGAAAACATTTTTACTTAAAATCTAAAAACTTTTCACAAAAAGTCTGATCAAACCACTAGTTTTTGCAATTTTATGTAAAATCCCCAGACACAAAAAGTCTGAAGTAACCCCCGATATTCTTTTGTTTCAATTTTACATAGCATATTTTCCACAAAAATTTTACGTAAATTAGTACACACTGAGGCAAGAAGAGATTTTTTTTTTGAAATAGTAATTGAAGTGATTCATACCGATCGTCTCTTTCGTAAGTAGATTCCACTTGAGGAGGTAGTGGTGATAGTCTCTGGTGTGTATAGTGGGGAAGAAACCCACCATTGGCAGGATCGAGAAGACCCATAGCTACATGGGGAGAGTGAGAATACTGAGAGGGTTGATTTGGCGTATTCATCTCTGGATAAGGGGCATGGGTCACTGGAGGAAATGCAGCATGATGCAACGGAAATGAATTCATTTCATACAAACAAGGATCTACTGATTCACCTGCAAAACAAAAGTAGACAATTTTACTTTGAACCGTTAAAATTTTTTATATTAAGCTGGTGTTAATTACTTTGGAAACACTAAAACATTTGAATTTCAGTATTTTATTGATTTTTTGTCGTTTTACTCAATTTTTTAGTTTGGACTAATGCTTTTTCATACAGCTTTTGTCATCCGATGTTAAAGTATAAACCTGTGGTTCTCAACATTTTTCGGTTATGGACTAATGCTTTTTCATACAGCTTGTGTCATCCGATGTTAAAGTATGAACCTGTGGTTCTCAACATTTTTCGGAACACCACCCGCTCTGCAAGTCAAAAAACTTTCAACGCTCCCTTGAAATGAAACAATTAAATATATAATTGAGTTTATTTTTGTCCAATTTTTAGTCTTCTACTATACTTGTTACAATGCATTTCTATAATCATACTTTTTAGTCATTAATTTACCAAATGGCCAATGTATTTATATCGGAAACGTTTTTACGCTTATTTTGATTTTAAAAAAATAACTTCAGAGGTCAAAATTTCAAGTGAATGAATTCAACATATCACTTTGAATTGTTAAATAATTCTTTTTACTGGAGGAAACATATTTCAAAATAAAGTATGACTATGAAGGAATCCCTTTCACACCTTCATACCCATAAATTTGCTAGCACCCCTCTAAAAGTCATCACGATCCACTGGGGGGCGATAGCGTCCACGTTGGGAACCTATGGTATAAGGTGTAAAGTTTTTTTTTACATTCAAGAAGTGCCGACCGAACTGTGTAGGGGTCAGGAAACTGGACTTGCATCAGGAAGGTTCTGGGCTCGAATCTCAGGCAAGGAATGAATGTTCTTTCATTCTGTGTACTGTCTGTCCTGACAGTGGGAGCAACGTTGTCCCACCTAATATGGTGCGTCTGAAAGAGTGGCCAAGAAATCTGCCCTGTAAATGCCTGAATTGATGAAATGTTGACACAGGTTGGAAATAAAAGAAAAACATTCAAGAAGTAATTTTTAAAATTATTTATCAAATTTGACATCCCTTGGTTACAAACTAGTTAAGACAACGCAACTCAACTCGGCAGTGTTTGTGCAAGTTAAAGCATGTAGAGTATGCAATGGATGATACTTTGCATACTTTACATACTCTAGCTTCCTCACAATTACTAATAATCAAGAATTATATCGCTTTGATGTGATGGAAAATATTATAATAAGGAATTTATAAATAAATCTTAAAAATCGTAAACTTGTTTAAAACTTATATAATTTCATCCAATTATTTATTCCATTGCAATATTTTATTTCATTAAAATATTATGTCAGTTATAAGTTTCTGGAACTGTTTCATTTCAGCAACCCTAAAAAGGCCAAAACTGAAAGAAAAACTAAGAAATGACTTTTATGTTTACTATAATCGTCTATAACTAAAAACATAAAATAAAATAAAAATTAGAGACTATTATATTGTTACATTTAAATTAAATCAAGTATGAGATTAGTTTTTAGAAACATTGCTGTTAAATAAGTATATTTTTACAAGTATAATTCGTTCACCAGGAGTTGGCACCTCCTCGGACGAGTTCATTTCAGCTCTGGAGTAAGAAGGAGAAACGTCTCCGTGCTTGAAATTGAGACAACCCTTAAAACGCGCCAAACGCAAACAGTGAATTCTTTTTCAGTCACTTACTTCGCTTTATCATCTGCAATTATACCTTTCCTTACTCCAGCTAATTAAATATATTGCAGCAAATTATCTCAAAAGGGATAAACTATTCACTCAAAAGAGAGGAATATCAAATTTATGAAATATTTAATGTTAAAAAATGCACATAATGATTGTGAAATAAATATTTTTGTCATACGAGCGCCAAATAGCTACCTTGTTCAGGATTGTTCACATCCTTCTTCCAAAAATAGCGAAATAGTATGGTCGGATACCACGTGATAAAGGCGGAGCCAAGCGCCAACTCCTGGTGAACGAACTATATAACACAATGATATGCTTCTCAGAAGTGATTTATTTTATCGAAAAGAATAGCAAATTGAAATAATCTCTTTTGAGAAGCATTACTCAATAACAGACAGTAAAAATGAAATGAGAATTAAGCACTATAAAGGCATTTAAGCGTTTTTGTGTCGTTAAGAACAACTTTATAAAATTAACTAAGCAGAAGGACTCAACAGTATTAATGGCAGGATACCAAATACAAATTTTTATCGTTTAAAAAGTTGCTCTATGGACACAAAAACGCACCCGTTGCTTTATTTTTGTCAGTTTGTGACAATTGTTAGTGCTTTTTATTTCGCAGTATTAATTGTTGCCAATTTTTTGAAACTTTCATTAGAATAAAGAACTTTATGAAGGCATTCGTAAGATGGGATTACTTAGTACTTGCCTCTCAAGCATCCAATGTTAGGCTCGTCATACAAGTAAGGAGATTTTCGATTTTTATTTTTCTGATGTCGCACTCTCGTAGGTGTTGCATTTGTTGTGCCATTCGTAGGACTGCTTTGAGTAGTGGTAACGGAAGCTGGATAGAGAGGTTCTGCCTTCCTAATTTGTTCCATTTCCAATTGCAAACTTTCACCTTCTTGTTTGCTGTTAAAAATTTTCTATTATCAATTGAGAGGGAATTTTTACATAGTTTAAAATATTTCTATAAACATTAGAGAACCTGTAGCTTTAAATATAAAATATAACAACATAATAAATAACATATTCTATGATTGGGAAATTATTTAACATATATTAATTAATATTAAATAACCGTAGCATTTTATAATATTTTAAAGTGAAAGTTTTCCAAAATGTTATTATGAATATTCACCTTCTGTTTATGCAAATTTTAAAAGTAATAACCTAAGAAAGCACTTATTGTGATTAACATGCGAAGTTTGAAAAGAAAATATACAGGATGTTCCGTAATCACCACCCTTCATATATATTTTATATGCTATGTCCCCATAACAGTTCAAGTATTTTATTATAAAGAAATTGTGATAGTGAGAATTTCACTTCAATATGGTATCAATTTGACAATAAAGTCGAATCTCAGTCTTATTTATGAGAAGTTAAGGGAGTCAATACCGTAAAGTAATAGCTAAAAAGTTAGAGCAAATATAAGAAATGATCGTAAAATTATTGAAGAAAAGGTGAAGTTATATTACGAATCGCAAAATTGCTTGGCAAAAAACTAGAATTTCAACAGACTGTTTCAATCCGCTTTTGATTAGATTGAAAAACGGAGACAAACCGTTTTTTTTCTTCAATAAAACGACTTTAAACCGTCAAATATAAAGAGGAATTCTGAAAAAAAAAAAAAAAATAACGTGTCTATTTTTCAATGCATTTTCAGTTTTCGCGTATATTTTTCAGTGTAATTTTGCACGAAAAATCGTTTAAAGTCACAACATGGATTCAGACACTTTAATGTCATAATCAAACACTCTAATACCCTAGTCAGAACATTAGCTTCAGTCAGAATACCCCCACACCATGAATTTCTCATGCTTTCAAACATTAAATGTGAAATTTAAAAAAAATATGTCATTTCTACGGATATCATAACTTTTTTTAATCAATTCTCTCATAGCTTTTTAGTGGAATTTAAATTAATTTTGCTATTCAGTTTTTTAAAAAAGTTAAAGATCAAACTATGGTATGAAGTGTGAAGTGCAACCTACAAATATTATTTTCATTAGGTTCATTTTTTGTTGTTGTTGTAAATTTATTGAAATTATACGGCAAGTCTTTGATGAGGGTTGGATTTAAATTCCCAACTTTCGGTACTTTTAAATTTCAATAAAATAAAAGCTTAATGAACTAACCTGAGAACATAATTCACGCTTACTATACAGTGAGGTCTTGAAGATCTCGTATTATGGACAACGGTGGCATAGCTCTGCATCCATATCCAACCACCATCTTTGGTTAGGAATCGATAGTATTTGGTTGTTACTTGCCCTTTATGAAGTACTGAAATTAAAAATTAAATTTACAACACTCATCAAGCATGAAACTAAACACGAATTTCACAGACGTGCAAAAAATGACTCGTTTTACTTACGGGTTTCGTGGGAATATCGCATTTGTACACAATCTGAGGCGTGAATGTAGTGATACAAGGTTTTTTCTATGAGATCCTGAGGCTGGTAACCGGTTAAATTTGTGACTCTGCAATAAATGAAACGAGATTATTTTAGAATGAATAAAGTTTTTCAATTAAGAAACGAGATTATTTTAGAATGAATGAAGTTTTTCAATTAATAAACGAGATGATTTTATTATTTTAGAATGAATGAAGTTTTTCAATTAAGAAGCGAGATTATTTTATTATTTTAGAATGAATGAAGTTTTTCAATTAAGAAACGAGATTACTTTAGAATGAATGAAGTTTTTCAATTAATAAACGAGATGATTTTAGAATGATTGAAGTTTTTCAAAAGAAACGAGATTTTTTTTAGAATGAATGAAGTTTTTCAATTAAGACAGAGAAATAGAATTGTGAAAGCTTTTCACTGTAGCATATTTCATTGTTAGAAGGCTTAATTAAGCGTTTAATTTATAATTTTAGAGAGTTTGAAAAAAAATCGGTTTTAGAACTGGTGGGAAATTTTTTAATAAAAACAAATTTTTCATTAAAAAGAATCCCTTATTTGAATATTTTCAAACTGTCTCTTATCATGTAATATTAATTAGCCTTCATTTACTGTTTTGTTTTAATTTTGTTGATTGCAAAACATGCAACTATACTAACTCTTAGAAACAGTTGAAGAGCGTAGTGGAAGTGGGTTATAAGGGACATTTATATGAATTTGAAAGCAACAGCTTCAGAAAATATAGCAGCAGCAAAAGCTGTTTACAAAACAATTTTCCATTAAAAACCGGTTTTTATTGACCAGGTAAAAAATAATAAGTCATAATAATACATATAGCTAACCACAAAGATTAGAACTTTTTTGGACTGTCACCAGGTGATACCCCCATTCACTAAGCTCTTCTATTATAATCACTGGTATTCACTTTTAGGCATAATTTCAGTAACATCATAATTTGAATCAATCTCTAAAACTATTTATAATAGTATAGTTATAGTTGATTATAATTACACAAAATTACAATAAATAATCACTCTGTAATAAAATAATAAAAATTTGTAATTTTTCTTGAATTTGAAAACTTTATTCTACAGTAAAATTCTAATTTTACAAATTAATTGAATGACACCACTTTAAAAAGTGACAAAATTTAAAATTATTTTATCTTTTTGAATATCAATTGTTATATTATTAAATGCTAGAATTATTTCAATATCATAAAGTGGAGCCGTGGTGGCTCAGGGGTTAGAGCGCTCGCCTTCCAATGATGTGGCCCAGGTTCGAATCCCAGCGATAGCTGGTCGATTCGAATTCCGCACCCGGCTCGCATCGAACCCTGTGCTGACGTAAAATATTCTCAGTGGTAGATGGACCGTGGGTCAGACTCTCCTTGGAGTTGGGCTAGCCGTGGGAGGTTTCCGTGGTTTCCCTCTTCATGTAATACAAGTGCGGGTTAGCTCCACGAAAAAAGTCCTCCACGAAGGCAAATTTCTCTCAATACATGATCCAGGAGCTCCCTTGTCTTCTGGATTGGGTTCAAAATTATAAGGCTACGAAGTTGAACATTAGTTGTCGTAGACTCAAAATTAATTGGGTCGGCTGTTCAACGACGGTTATAAAATAAAATATCATAAAGTGCTAGGTTTCGAAGTGCAAATTCGTGAAATTAATTCTTGAAATTTACATTTAATTATCACAATTGCCGTTCAAAAAATAATTTTTCTTCTTCACTGACATTTAACACTTAAAGAACATACTTTACAAGAATTAAAGAGTTTTTACTTAAAAAAGTCCTTAATCGTTTCTTGTTTTATATTTCTTTGGCGCTTTTCTGCTGCAATTCTTCGCCATTTTCTTAGGGATAACAGGAAGGCTGCTGTCGCTGCTTTTTGTTGTTCTATATCGCTCATGGGCTGCACTAGGGCACAACTCAAAAAATCATGTTTTGAGATAAGTGGGTTTAAAGTTTTCATCGCTAAGGAAAATGCATAAGAAATACTTTAGTTTGCTTAAACGAAGATTACCTTCAAGTTATGCTAGAGTTGTTCTAGTATTGCTGTTGAAAAGAATGTGTATTTTCATATTTACACCTGTTCTTAGTCCAAAACACGTGTTTTTTGAGTTGTGCCACTATTGCAGCCCATGAGTGATATATGTACTTGATAGCACTTTCGATAGCTTCCAGTTCATCTGCATGTTGATTTTCATCGTCACTGTCTTCATCATCTTCGCTAGATTCATTTTCATTACTGACGATATTAACGATCATTTCATCGGTAATCTCGTGTTGTCCGTCAGCTTGTTGTCCCGAGTGTTTGGAAGATAAAATTCAGAATTTTTTTTTCCGGTGGTAGTTATAGAAATAAAAAATAAACTAGAACAAAAAAAATCATTTAAATATTGGACAGCTTGGTTAAAGCTGAAACTTGGGACTCGGATAATAGGGACTCTACTCCAGTATGCTAATTTTGAATCAACATGTCATAATTGCCTTAGAATAGGCTTCGGATATCTGTCACATTTTAAGATTTCTTTATCGAACACTTTCTAACATAAATATCAATCTAAGAAGCATACCTGGCATCTAGAAATATCAATCTGAGATCCATGTTGGCTCGGAACATGAACATGTTGGAGTACATCTTTATTTCGGTGATGGCGCTGGGTGGTAAGGAATGCCCAACTGCCACCAAACCCAAGTTTTGATAGCAACTGTCATATGGGGGCGCTTCCACGTTGTACCGTTGCACTTTCAAATACCCACTACAGTGAATGACCTGAAATATTTGTTCAAAATGAAGTTTAAATAAAATTAAATGTATCAAAGTATCATATTGGGGTATAATTACTTGGTAATATTAAAACTTAACGATTCTTTTTTAAATAAGGTCTACCTAATTAAAACAATAAATTAAGTCTACTAAACAAATGAGTGATAGCTTAATATATGAATGATATGAATAATAAGAGATAGTTTCCCCCCAAAAAAAAGATTTGTGTTTTTGATCAACACAATGCAGCATGTAGCTGCAATCTGGAGAATAAGGTCCTAATAGTTTAGTCAGGAGAGCGGTCAAAAGATTGGGCCCCTTAACATTTTGTCTACGGCGCTTAGCATGATGAAGTCATTGTGATCCCCTTATTGTACTAGCCATAAGTAAAAGGTTAATGTTGGCTTCACTTTTTACACATTTCGTCATATATTGGAAATTTTTTAAGCGAATTGAAAATTTTTTGAACACAATTATAAAACTCATTTAATTAAAGATCATTCCATGCAAAAGAACTTTTGATAACTACTAATACTTTATTAAATTATGATCGAAAAAGTGCAGATCATTTCAATTTTTACATCATTTTAAACTATTTACTATTAAATAACAATTACAAAATTTGAATGAAATTAGTCGAATAGCTCTTGAGAAATTAAAATTAAAAAATATGACTTTTTAAAATTGTTTTATAATTCAACTGTTCGACAGATTTTGCAATTTCATATTATCCAGATTGCAGCTACCAGTTACTCACTATATTTTAGTAGTCAAAATTCCTAATCAGTAAAAAAAAATAATAATAAAAAAGTTTAATCAGAGAAATTACGTTTTTGTGTCTGAACGCGGAACTTAATTAATAGTTTCACTATTTAATTAGCTTATTTAAACTGAATCCTTCAAACCAATATGACTGGACTTTGTACGTGATAATCCAATAATTTAAACAAGAAGATATTCTGAATGATAATTATTTTTCTGCCTATTGTATTTAAAAAGTAAAAGTTGAAAAATCCATTTTCATTTTTGCTATAGCACAGGCAATTTTAAGTTATTTTTACTATAGGACACCAAGCAATAAAAAATATGTGCATTAGTGAATGGCATAGAATTATTGTTATTCAGAGATAATACGCTTTTTGCCTGTAACTTGTTTAATAGCTGATTTATTAGCATAATTGAACACTCAATTTTTTTCAATCATAAAGTATGACACTTAATGCGTGAAAATCCAATAATTGAAAAAGTTATTTGAGTAATAATTTTTTTTCCCTATTGTACTTATTGCACATTGCACAATAGAAAAAATTGGATGGCTTAGAGGGGATAGAGCGTTTGCCTTCCAAAGAGGTGAACCAGATACGAATCTCAGTGGTGGCTGAGTGATACGAATTTCACATCTGGCTTGTAACGACCACAGTGCTGACGCAAAATATCCTCAGTGGTAGACGAATCATGGATTAGAGTCCCCTTGCAGTCAGACCGACAGTGGGAGGTTTTTGTGGTTTTCCTGGCCACCTAACGCAAATGCGGGTTAGTTCCATCAAAAAGACCTGCACGAAGGCAAATTTCTCCCAATAATTGATCCAGGATTTCTCTTGTCTTCTGGAATGGGTTCAAAATTACAAGGTTACGGAGTTGAGCTTTAGTAGTCGCAAACCCAAATATTTTTTCGGTTGTTCAACGACGGTTATAAAGTAAAATACCAAGAATTTGAATTTTTTGTTGTTGTTGTGGTGTCAGTTTTAAAATATTTTAGCACTAAGTAGGATGGCATACACTAAAATAATTTACGTTAGTGAATGTGTTTTCTATATTACTGCGCTGCGCTAGAGAAGGTGATTACTATGTCTGATAACTTTTCTATGGTATTAGTACATCGGTTCTGAAGATTACAATAGGATGAGAAAGCTCAATTGTAATAATTTTTTTTAACTGTAGTAGGGGAGAGTGGGGTCAATTGTAACAGGGTACGATTGTAACAGAGTAAAAATTTCGAGTGTCGGGTTTTGGATTTGGTTCCTAGGTGGCGCACAAGGTGTATTTAATAAATCTACATGTACACCCCTGCTGGCAACCATTTTTATGTACTTTTGAAAGAGTTACATCACAAAAGATATTTTCACGCCATGTAAGTACTTTTTTGGTATTAGAATATTATATTGTAACAAAGTAATTTTGTTTAAACAAATAAAAATTATTAACCGAATATGTAAGTGGACACCTTAATTAACATTTCAAAAAAAAAAGATCGGTTTTGGTTATTAACTAGCATTGTCTTTAACAAATGAAGCTGAAATGGCGTCTTGGGGACGATTGAATCTTATGTTTACAAACCATTACTTAACTCTTTAAGAACCACCGATAGTTTCCTACATCATTTATAATATGTTGCATGTGCATTATTTTATTTGTCACCTTTCACAGCATAAATTAAAATTTTTAACCCCTTAAAGTTTAACCCTTTAGGTCTCTGCTCATTATTATTTTTACTCCTAAAATATCACTACTATTTTGATCAATAAAAAAATATATCACAACTATGATAATACGTATAATTAACTATGTTTTAGTTGAATTTATGAACTGTTACAATTGGGGGACAATTGAGTGGGGACAATTGTAACAAGTGCACGACTGTCAAAAATTGTTAATAACTAATATAATAACATTTAAAATAGGATATTTTTTTCTAGTAGAGGATAGTCTACTTTACTCGTCTGTCAATTAATACTAATAATATATTGGATTTTTTGTTAGTTAAAAATAGTTAAGTAAAAAAATGTTACAATTGACCCCACTCTCCCCTACTTTCTTAGGAAAGAGAAATATAAAAACAAGCTTAAGAAAATAATTAACCAACGATTTTTAAATGAGCACACCTTGTATCCACCCGATGTCAAACCAGCGTTTCGCTTGGCCAGAACGCATTTCATCCTCACAAAGAACAATCTCTCCAGCTCAAATTCTACAGAAACAAAACAAAGTAAAAAAAAAAATAAGCACACTGTAAGCAAACATCACTCTTTCATTGTCAGAAATAATCATAATAATTAGAATTTTCTTAATTGAGCAAAATAGAGAAGGAACGAATAAACAATTTACAACGCGTGACATATTTCAAATGAAATAAATACCACTGATGAAAATATATACGTAATTAAGTAGCATCTTTTAATTAGTTCTTTATAATCGTAAACTTTCGGTTGCGTGATCCCGAAATACGCAAATTACTCGTAATTTTCAGGAAGAGAATAGATTTTTATTGTTAAATGATAATTACTTAAATGAAGTATTTTATTTAATGCAGATTTTAATTACTTCATCAGCTGTTAAAACGTTTTGTTAAAGTGAAGCATTTTGCAATTTCTATAGCATTCGTATTTTAGACACAATTTATTTTTGATACAACGTCACTTAACTTTTACCATTTAAAGATACTTTTATGCGTGTAGTTTCAGTTGGATTATAGTTTTTGTTATTGAAAAGGTCTCTAATTATGTCAAGTTGAGTAGACTTTAATAACTTGAGGGAAACGTACGAAACGTAAGCATGTTTTAATTGTTAAGTTTGAAACTGTGAAGAAAATGGGAAAGATTTTTAGCTGAATCTCTGAAAATTATCAATATGATTTCATTTCTTATAGCTAGATAAAATCTTAAAAATTGTTGTTTAATTGTTTCCATACTCCAATATAAAGGCTTTTTTTTTAATTAAACTTTAAAAAGTTTTCTTGTGCTTACATTTTACAAAATATTTTTTTAACAAAAAACAATACGCGGCAGAAGATTTTCAAAAGCTATTTTGATATACTTTTCTTATCTGACAAAATAGCTGCACTTTCCTGATGCTATTCTTTTAATTTAATAGTTGCAACTTTAACTCTTATGATGCATGTGACAATTTTTACTTAAAAATGTTTTTTTTTAAATGCTTAACCACTAAACAAAATTTTTTTAATAAAGTTATCCCAAAAAAATATAGTTGCGCCATCGAAGTAATTAAACTTCATTTCGCAATATTTTACTTAGTTAAATCAACAAATATAATACATCCAAAGCTGCTCATAATTTTAAAAATTTTCGTAGCTAATAATTCCCATTTTCATCATAGCGCAATTAAAAATAATGACCATATGCAAACCAATTCAAAAAATTATTTTATTTTCGACAATCAAGAATTACGAAACATAAACAGCCAGAATTTACAAGACTGCTTTTATCTAAGGCTCCTATACTATGAACGCTCCTCTAATTTAGGGGCTCTACTTTTATCTATTCATTTACCACGTGATTTGCTTTCTAGAAACTCAGCTATATTTACTATTTTGAAAATTTCTGTTGGAGATTCAATGTTTTATTTTTTAAAATTATATTGAAATATACAAAAAAGAAATGTAATTATAATGTATTTATCAATTTGAAACAAGAATGTAAAATTAATGTACAGAATTTTGAGGAATTTAATAATGACTGCAATCACAATATGTAGTTGAATTTTAAATGTTTAGTATTGCAACAGCAAATTTTTTCATTTTAACTCTTTATAAGGCCATGGAAAACATGCTTCCCACCAACTTTATTAGTTCTTAAATGTCAATGGGGAGTTATTTTTCCAGTTATGACTTATGCTTAATAAATTTGATGCGTTCGTTAAATTCGTTCGTTTGTTAATTGTTAAATTCGATTATTTATAAGGACACAAGTTTAAGTTTATTATACGGGGTTCCCACGACCTGTAGAAAATAAATGAGTGATAGCTAACATTTTTCATGACTACTGAAAAATGCTTAAATTTATCTTTCATTTGTGAATTGCGAAATTAATTACGAGATATTTTTTGCACCCATATATATTTTCGTTAAATTAAATGTTTATTGACAGCTTAAGGCATCTAGAAATATACACTATTTACCAATAAGTGTTTGGACACGTGTGATTGAAAAGAAAAACAAACTTTATTCATAATCAATAATTGGTAGAGCCTCCACGAGAGGCAATTACAGCGTGAGCCCTCCGAGGCATACTTTCCACTAGTCATTGTATGACGGCTAGCGGTCTTCCACTCGGCTTGGAGAAGACATGCAAGTTCCTTCACCGATTTTGGACGGGTAGTACATCCCTTAATTCGGCGATCCAGCTCGTCCCAGAGGTTCTCGATAGGGTTCAGGTCTGGGGTTTGGCCAGGCCAGTCCATTCGATTAACTCCATTGGCACCATACTAAGTCTTGGTGACCCTCGTAACATGACAGCTGGCACTGTCATCCTGGAAGTAACAGGAGTCCACCCCGTAAAACTGCCACAACGTAGGAAGCACATTGTCATCCAAAATAGTACAGTAGTCATCTTGGATGGGACTAATGTTGATGTTGTTCCCTACACATTATATACCGGCGGAGGTCGTGACGTATCTCAGAACCGCAGATATAGTCATTTGCATAGGTGTCCAAAAACTTATTGGTAGATAGTGTATCATTTTCGCTACTACTTTAAAAAAATTTCCAGACCTCGAGAGTCCTGTAATAATTCTTTACAGCAGGTAAAATTTTAAAAACACCACCCACTCGCTCATCTTCCCACAAAAAATAAATTTTCTTAAAAATCGTCCAATTTTAGTTAATACACAATTTTTTTTATAAATCAATTACAATCATAAAAAATATTTTAACAAAACATTACAAACATTTTAACTATTATTACATGTTACATATTTGTAACATAACAAAACAAATAACTAGGAAAAGAGTGGCCCCATAAAGGTATAATAGCTAGTGAATATCTTTTTTCATTTAACTATTATGACACGATCATCAAATAGACATGGAAGAGTCGAGACGTACTGACCACCCTGTGGTGCAGGAATTTGAGGATGAACAGGTGGTGTCTGAAGGGACAAAACAGCAGCCATCTCGTCATGGTCAGTTGGATCGATGTATTCATAAATGCTGTTGCCTGTCAACTCTACCTAAAAATAGAAGTAGAAATAAAAAAATTTTAAACTGGATTAGAGATTTCATTTACTAAAAGCGTATAAATACGAGTAACAGTTGCATTAAAGATGCAAAACAAACTATTTGGTTGAATTGAAGTCAAGCCGCTTATCAGTTCAAATTTTGTTGACATTTGTAATGAAAAACTTGATGCGCTTGTCTTGCTAAGTTCTGAAAAGTTTCAGGAAAAACAAAATATTGTAACGGTAAGGGAAGAGTGTTCTGCGGAAAATCAGCGTGTATAAGCGAATTATAATAAGAAAAAGTTAAGATCAAGTTTAGATCTAGATAACTTTGTGGCTATTAAATATTTCGTGTAGGTACTTGATAAATGATTTCTAATGTTCAGTAAAAATTTCAGACGTTTTGGCGAAATATTTCAGAAATTATTATACGTTTTAATCAAAAATCATGAGACCGGCAGTGGACTGATCGTTAAGACACGGTTTCCAGCAGATCACCGAAGTCAAGCATTACTGGCTGCGGTCAGTGTGCGGGTGGGTGACCACTTGGATCAGTCTGCGTAGGGACCGAGGGTGTGCGATATTGGTCCTCGTTAAACTGTTCTACCGTAAAGTGCTCAAATTCGCGTGCAGGTCGTCCGACTACCGAAGCGGGGATGCCATCCCCTCTGCGGAGGATCAAAATTGTGATGGCATGTCTTCGGATCATCCTCAGGGATGTTTCCCAGACCGTCGCCAATAGCCCATTGCGCAGCTCTAGAGCGACGTAAACGAACAAAACAAGCAACCAAACAAAAATCATGACGGTTTAATCAAAAGTCCTTTTTACTTTTAGTTCGCAAGGCTGAAACTTCACAGAACTTAATATGACATATCTAATTACTTTTGAGATACGTTTCATAAAAATTGAAAATGCTAAGGAGGGGATGAATTCGGGAGAATAATGTATTTATTATCTTTATAATTCTTATAAACGATCTGTTGTTATTATTGTCGTAAGTTGTTATCATTAAGGCGAAGGGACTGCTCTTCTTGGTTTCCAGTGGCGCCATCTATGGCCAAGAATTCGACTTCTGCCTGACACATACGTCACAACCCGTTTATAGGGCGGTCCCATTCCTACATGCATTCATTCATCCACAAATCGTAATTTTAACCAGCACCAGAGAACGATCAACCTCTGATTCAGTACCCTCCGAGATATGATTTGTCATGGGAACATAGAGGACTTTGTGACCAGAGAGATTTAACGTGCACCGGTCACCATTTACTACAAAGAGAGTCTTCGGCCGGTGGGGATTGAACTCACGACCTGTTGGACATAGTTCCAATGCCCTAGTAACCTTACATGGGATAGATTTTATATTATTCTTTTATTCTATATTATTCTCTTATTTAGTATTATTCATTAATTCTTGCATGGGGAATAACGCATTTATTATATTTGATTTGTATCTTAAATGTGCCATATCTTATATACATATCGTGGTTGTATTGTTTATCATTAAAAAAGTTAGTATTTCTCTAAATAAAATAAATAACATGTAGTGACTAAGTTACTTCAGTGAGAAAAAAATGAGATATTAGTTATCAAAATAAAAACTTTATGAAACTGTCTATGATTTTTATAATGAATGTAAAGCATTACTTTTGAAAACTAGTTAGAAAAATGAACCTTACTTGTGATAATCCTAGATGGACGGAAGCAGTTTCAGAAATATACATTATTTTCCCATCTGGAGCAACAACAAAAACAAAACCATCCAGCGTCTGAAATAAATATGAAAAAAAATTAGTTTCTCATAAATATCATTAGAATTTAAAACTGAAAGTCTAATTTAAGGCTGCTCTTCAAGGCTGCCGTCGAAAGATGAAATAAAGCTTTTTTTTGTAAATAATATGCTATTTTTATAACTGCTGTGAGTTTGCAACTGTTACTCATAACTGTTAAGTCAAGTTGAGTCTAAAGCCTGCCCTTCTTTTGAAAATGGCAAAAAATCTCAATATGGAGAAAAGTCGCAGTTTTGTGAAAATGATAAGCGTTTGTGGTCTAATTTTTTAATATTTAAAAACTTACTCCAATGTTGCATTACCTGGGCTCATAAGAATTTGCAAAAAATAGGAATAAGGCACTGCTTTTGCTAATTTTCTCCTAGGTGGAAAACTGACGCCAAATAGGCGATTTTTAATAACTTCTAAAGTATTTAAGTTATTTGTCTGTTCTAAAGCCCAGATAATTCTTCACGAGATATGTTGTTTAAAATCATCACATTTCTTTAAGTGTAAGGCACTTAAACTATGGATTTTTTTAATTTTCCTTGGCGACAGAGCCTTGAAAAACAGCGTTAATTGTTACATCTGAAATCATCATTTAAGGATAATATGAGGTTTTTAATGTATTTGTGTTGGAAAGTGGAAACAAGTGAGAAAATTGTTTTCAAATCTTCAAAAAAGAATAATGCGCAAAGAAAAGGAAAAAAAGAAGAAGAAAAAAAAAAAAGAAAGAGAACGAGAGAGAGAGAGAGAGAGCTCTGAAAAACTTTTGATTTAATGATTTGATCTCCACGTTCTGAGACTAAATATTAATGGTTCAAGAGGTTAACCTCAAATCTGTTAATTAATTAGTGCAGACGATTTCTTAAGTTATGAAATCAAACACAAAATCGTACTTTGTCAACTTTTTTTTTTTNTTTTTTTTTTTTTTTTTTTTTTTTTGACGGAGTTGCCACAGTTCAAATCCCAGCGATAGCTGGTTGATACGAATTCCGCACCCGGCTCGCACTGACTACAGCGCACATAAAATATCCTCAGTGGTAAACTGATCATGGGTTAGAGTCCCCTTGCCGTGAGACTAACCGTGGGTTTCCTCTTCATGTAACGCAAATGCGGGTTAGTTCCATCAAGAAGTCCTCCACGAAGGCAAATTTCTCCCAATACTTGATCCAGGAGTTCCCTTGTCTTCTGGATTGGGTTCAAAATTACAAGGCTATAAAGTTGAACATTCGTAGTAGTAAACTGTTCAGTAGTGGGCTGTTCAAAAAGACGGTTATAATATGAAATAAAATTTTGAGAAATATGATAGTTTGCTCAGGATAGCGGTTCAAAGTTTCGACCCCATAATGTTAATTTTGCTTTTTGCGTATATCGCCATTTCTCCAGAACTTCTAAAGCGAATTGAAAAATTTTCCGCATAATTTCAAAATTCTTTTATCCAAAGGTATTTCCATTTAAATAGCTTTTAGTAAGTATGTATTACTTTTTATTATTTTATTTATTGAAATTTATTTATTAATTTATTTATTTAAATTGTAAGGTATAATTTTTTTAAGAAATAGTTTGAAAGAATGTAATTTTAGCAAGAAAAATACAAAATTTGAGCGAAGCTGGTCGAATAGTTCCTGACAAATCGAATTTTAAAAATAAGACTTTTATTTGAGGTCACATTCCCTCGAACCATTTAAGATAGAGAGTCCTAGAACGTGAAGATTCAATCGTGGAATCTAAAGCTATTCAGAATAGTCCAATTTTTTTTGCTCATAGTACATTTAACATCATAATAATAATAAAATTAAGCAATCGACAACAATTCGCATTGTATTTATTACTAAGGTCACTCACACATTGCATATAGAATTAATTGCAATTATTCAAATAATTCAACAAAAAATTATTCAATTATAACATCCCAAAATTTTTTCTTGAAATTTATCTGGGATGGAATTTTAATATAATAAATTTGCTGCTTTCTCCACAAACTCGATTTTTTAAATTCTATTTAATTTTTGGTTTCAATAAAAGAACCGTAAAATATTTTTCGTCAAAGAGGTTATTTAGACATAGTATAATATTGCTTCAGAATTTTAAACTATAAGGATATTAAATATTTTGAATATTGCTTCAGAATTTTAAACAGTTTTATTAAAAATCTTCATTTAAATATCAAAATAAACAAAAATTTTACAAAATACAAAATTTTACATGAATGTCATAATAAGAGTAAATACAATTGATTGACTTCTTAATATTTGCTATCATATGATTCCTTTGTCCAATAAAAATGCAGAAAACGGTAAGACGAAAACTGTCTTTTCGTAGCAATAGCGGTACGTTGTTTGTAAATTTGAGTGATAAACTTCACTTTTTTGAATCTTGAACAAAACTTGACTTCATCAGACAATCAGAAGCTGTCAGAAATACGATTTCTAGTTGTTTATTTACATAACTAATATACAAGTAATTGAATTGAGCTGGGCGAATGTTCAAGAAGAAAAAAATGGGAATCGGAAATTTAACTAATAAAATTTTGCTTGCTTTTTAATAACAATTGTTTTCATTACAAAGAATAATTTATATTCCTTCTAACAAATAGAAATAAGAAGATTCAATTATCTGTTTCAGCCTATCGTAATTTATGTTTAATTATTTTAACATCTGCGATGATTGGTTTTGCTTTTAAACGAATTTCTATTTTCAGACTTAAGAGGGAACAACTAATTCTTGAGATTTTCGAAAATGTAATTTTTTTAAAAAAAAATTTTGAAAAGAAAATTTAGCTGCTTCTATTATGGGCATTCAATATCAGATTATAAAAAATTGGGAATGTTTTCCTAAAATTTACAAACTGAAACTCACATGAATGAAAAAGGCATGCTCGTGATTTTTTAATCAACGTTAATATCAGTGAAATGAGTTCTTTTAAACGTTTATATGAACATTTTAAACGTTCTTATAACACAATATTTTCATACTCATAGATGTGATAACTTAATTTTTTAACTGATTCGAGAAGAGCTTTAGCCGCATATCTATTACTACTGTCGTTTCTTATGAAAATTGGTAGTTGGTTTTGTAATTTTTTAATGTTTCTGTAATTTCAAATTAAATAGATGATAGAGATGTCATAAAATTTTAAGTTGATTGTTTCATATCGTATATTTCTCCTTTATACGAATTTCAACTTATACCTGTTCGAAAAATGTTTCTGCGTACTCATATTGTCATATCCTGTAAAATTACGGGGGGAAAAGTCAATCTTTTAAAAATGTCCCTCAGATTTTTTTTCCTTTTAATTTTGATTTTTTATTATTTCATTTTGTGAGTGCTCCGTAGAATTTTTGCTTCATAAATGTATTTTAGAATTCTTGTAAAAAATCCAGTAATTCGAATATGCAGAAGCTTATGGATTATATTTAATCATTAAAAAATGTGACGAAACATTATAGAGCTCAGTTCTAACAAATTTGGAATAAAATTCCTCAAAAATTTTTTTTCTCTGTTAAAACTGTAAGTAAGGCACTCATTTAAAGTTCTATGGGGTTGAAAAATTACTAGCAATGAGTGAATAGTATCTTAGTTTTTGAAAGATTTTTTTCTCACTTAAATATTAATTTCATATCCTTAGATTGTGGGTTCTAAAGACTTTATTTTTTTGACAAGAATTCTAAAAACATGTACGCAAATGACGTTGATTACGAAACACCTTGTTTGTACAGGGCGTTCTAAATTAGACTAACCATTTCCAAATATTTATAACTGAAAAACGGAAAAAAATTTTTGCAGATAATTCCTGTAGCAAGGTTCTCATTTTTCCTTCCTGAGTTCCTGGTCGTACTTTTAAAATTTTTCGTTAGGAAGTGTTATGAATAGAAAACCTGAATAGATAAATAAAAATAATAATAATTAAAAATCGTATGACAACACGTCAATTACGCAGGTGATTGCAACTGATTGTTAATTTTTTGTAAATATTGAAATAAGGCTTTCATTCATAAGAAGATTTCAAAATTTTTTAATGATTTTCAATTATTTTTCATTGAATTAGACATTTACTATCTGCAGCGCCATCTATTGAAATTGGTTTGAATTAAAACCAGGAGCTTTAGGAAGAAAAATTTATTCCCTGTCACATGAATTCGTTCTAAGAATTTCTTTTTTTATATATAATTATTATCATTATTATTCTTAACCTTAGCTGTTTTTCTGTTATAAGTTTTTGAAAATCGTCAGTATATTAGGACACGCTATTTAATCTATGCATATAATCATCTTAAACCATTATCTGTCCACGGCTGGAAGAAGGTTTGTTTCAAAATTTTCCATGCATTTCTATTGCTGCTTTTTTTAAATTTTGCTATACAATTTCTTTTTTGTAGTCTTTTCATTTAAGTTTCATATAGGCATAATTAATAATGTATGAAAATAAAAAACACTTTGAAGATTGAAACTTGAGTAATTGTTTGTCAATAAACTCAATAAGTAATAATATCCATTTCGTAGAAAAAATAAATTTTTATTTCACGCATACTGAAAAAAAAAAAGAAAAAAAAAANAAAAAAAAAAAAAAAAAAAAAAAAAAAAAAAAAAAAAAAAGGAGGAGTGAAATAAAAGTAACTAAGAAATAAATATTAAAAAAAAGGGAAAAAAATTTAAAAGATTGCTTTCAAGTATAGCATCGAAATTTATTTTGAGCTGACCGAAAAGAATCCTAATGTCATTTTTGATGAAATATGCTGTTCTGTAAGAGGATATTCTTTTAACTCATGCATCAAACATTACTTCGCCATGCATCACCATTCAGACGATTTCTGAAAACAAACGAGAATGAGACGACTATCGATATAAACATGATTTATTCTAGTCACTTATTGCTATCGCAAATATCGCTTGCAAAAATTCTAGCCATTTCGTCTAAAAACAGCAAACGAAAGAGTTTCACTTCAATGAATCAAACCTAAAAATTCCATCTGTACAAACAATTCGAAACTCTAACTCTTTTATTTCTCTGGCGCTGCTGTAATGGTCTACCTCTCAATGATAAGTGGTAAAAGGCGAAGAAGAGTGGTAGAATACGAACTTTCAAATCCCGCAGACGATCTACAACTCGGATGGTAAAATGGTGTCTTCTGATGCAGAGGCACGATCGCTGGCCGATGACGGATTATCGCTTCCGGTTTTATGGCGGGCCACAGCACTCAAAGGCTGGTGTAGGAATTATGTAAATGATCTTCCTGTGATGTACGATCGGGCTTGTTGATCTTAGCGAACGAGAATAAATCGTCCCCCTTTCTATCGTAATGAATGTAGGTGCCGAATTCTTTATCGCTGGATCCCATTTGCACGACACTATCTCTACTCAATGGAAAATTCTTGTCCGCAAAATGGGGACACTAATCACCCTTTACTTGTTTCTAATGAATAATGAATGGGATATTTGAATTTCTGTTTACAAATAATGTAGAACATTCAAAACATTCGCTTTTATTAATATTAGCGAGAAAACTATTTCCCTCGTCTTAAAGAGCTTGATTAAATGATGGAGATATATCTAACTTATTAATACCCAATTATGCAATTTTGCATTCGAATAATTGTTCTTTAATCTTTGTACAATTATTAAATAGTTATGGGAAATATTTTGAAAATAAAATTTACAGAAATGTTTCGGCAGACAAAAGAATTTTAACCTGTGAATTGCGGGTTGTAAAGTATTTGGAAACTACATTTTGTTTTACTTTTTGAAAATGTAATCGTAAAATATTCTTCTATTTCTAAAAAATCAGTTAATTATTGTCAACAGTCAATTATTATCAGTTGTTACTATCAGTTAATTATTACAGTTTAAATTTTCATGCTCAGAAAAGATAATGTAACTTGTTCAGATTTTTATATGCTATGAAAATATACATGTTTGATGAATTATACATGTTTCCACAAACATTTTTTATGGGGCTTTTTCCTTACGACCAAAATTAACATTGAAATGCGTGTAGAAGGAGAAGCTGTAGGAATGTTGTGCTTTTAATGATTGTACTTTTTTCCGAAAATAAATTGATAACTGTTATTTACTTTACTCTGTATACATAAAAACATGCATAAAAGAAGGTCATCATATTATCAGATTTAGAGAAATATAGCTAAATTAGCACAATTCTGAAATCAGTATTTTTAGAAAGAGGGTATAGTATTATTGTTATCTGACTTTAAACTTTTGATAAATATTTTTGTTACGGTATAATTACGTTAAGAGAATTTTCAGATTCATCCAAATCGATTTCGATACTTTAAACACAATCAAAGTAAATCTTTACAAATCTAAAGATAGTTAAATGACAGTTAAAGACAGTATTAAATTATTTATCCCAAATTACTAAATTCATAATAGGATGATGTCATCCGTGTGTCAGCCAATCAGGTTCGACGCACATGCGTGACGTCACTTGCATGTATAAAATTAAATCTGATCCAAAAATTGATTGCGAGTAATAATAAACCCATCCAAGCCTTAAATTTCTAACGCTAACCAGTCATGAACAACCACGTAATTAGACAAAACCATGTAGTTTGTTGCAAGTACCCAATTTTATTAATTATTTTAATGTTTGGAGGAATCCAAAGAAGTCTAAAATTTATAGAAAGCAGTTTTTTCTTATCTAATAGAACATAGTCTTAATTATTACCTTCCTTTATTTATTGTTTTTTAGAAAAATATCAGGCTTTTACAAGTGTGTTAAGAACAAAAGGAAATGGCATGCAAAATTCCTAGAAACAAAAAAAAAAAATCGAGTTTTTACCGCACTATTTTCTCCAACCTAATAGAAGAAAGTCTCTATTAGCCTCCTTTTTTTCTTCCTTTCTTTTCTTTTCTTTTTTTTTTTAGAAAAAAAGAAGAGAAAAAGAGGAAGAATATTTAAACTTTAAATACAAGAAAGCAAAAGAAAAAAGCTATTGTGAAAAGCTAACTTAATATGCTATTGTAATACATGACCTTGAATGTAGGTTATTGAGCACAAGCATATATTAAAATATCAATAACTAGAAAGTAACTCACGAGTTTCTGTAACATAGCACTAAGTTCCTTGTAATTTAATCAAAATAATAAGAAAAACTATTACTAAAGATTTCAAAGAATTTCAATAATGACCAAAATTTGAATATCTAGTGCCAGATACCTCGATATAATTATGAAGTTTTGAAACTTATAAAAGATTTAAAATAAAAGACATAAAAAATATGCTGCATTAAATAATTAGTTTATTTTCTTCCTAAGTATTAATTTTGATTTTAGACTAAATTTATTATAAGAAATAAAAACTCTGTGCTTTCTGTAAAATCGGATGAAAAATTTTGATATTTAAAGTTGCTTCAGAAACTAAATGAATAAAAATATCAATAAGTAGCATGTAAAATAGTGTGATTTTAATTCTTTTTTTGTACTGAAAGACAATTGAGCGAAAGTATTAAGATAAAAAAATATAAACCTACTTGAAATAAAGATTTTAATTAAATGAAAAGTATCGTTACTATAAACACTGTTAATGTTTATATTTACGAATAAATTACAAACTCCATATACAATTTATTACTGGCTGTATGTTTGAAGTTTGTCTATATTAATAAGTTCAAATGGATATGAGAATTTTACCTGCAAGAGATGAGAACCAAGTTCTTTTATTGCACTTTCTAAGGGGTTTGGCAAAGGAGGTGCTGCTCCCCAGCTATCCCCAAGACCTGTGAAAGAAAAAAATAGGAATTAAATTATAAAGTGAAAGGCTTTGGCATTACTCTGCACTTAGGTTTCAATAATTTGAAATTCAAATTTTATAACTACATAATAGAATACAAAACTTTACATTAAGTATTAAGCGTCATTTCATCATTATCATCATAGTTGGCCAGACAGCCCAATGTGAGCCAATGCCTTCCTCTGAAGATTTCTCCATGGCGATTTCCGATTTATCTTTGATCTCCAGTTCTTTTCATTAATTGTGAGAAAATCAGACTCCACTGAGTCAGCCCATCTCAACATCGGCCTTCCCCGCTTTCTTTTTCCAGTGGGTCTAAAAAGCAGTATCTTTTTTATTGTGTTGTCATCACTCATTCGAAGCACGTGGGAGATCCAATTCATTCTATTTATTTTTTATGCTTTTAATAATATCAGGTTGTTTATAAATCTTGTACAGTTCAAAGATAAATCTCCTTCTCCAGTTATTGTTTTCATTTACACCACCATTTTCCTCCAGTTTTGTCATTGTCCAAGCTTCAGAAGCATATGTCAAGACTGGCCGGACAAGAGTTTTGTAGATTAAGAACTTTGTTTTTCTAGAAATAAACCTATATTTAATAAATCTTCTCAGCCCATAGACAGCCATATTCGCCATATTAAGCGCCATTTACAAATACATAATTTCACGGTGCTATTGTAGTAGTTGTTTAGAACTTTTGGAGCAATTATTATTATTTTTTTAATTTGTCTCAACCAAGAAACGTTGTTTTATTTTATTCAAATAAAGTCTTTTCATTGTAGGAAACCAAAAAAACGCAATTTTTAACTCTAATGAAAATCGTTTAATTAATGTAATCGAAATAATTAAAATACACTATACAAGATTATAATCAAATTTATCAAACAAATAAATTCCAATCAAAATAAGTCACCCATATTTCGAGATCAAGAAAAATTAAAATGGTTTTATCAAAATATATAAACCATAAACCACCCATTACAAGAGTTTGACCCGATTTATCAAAAAACTAAATCCTAATCCCAATCAGATCCCTACTTTTTGGGTTGCCGAAAAATCATGGGATCAAAAATAACGTTGTAGGAAAACAGTTATGGAAAATAAAGAAAAGAATAAAATTAAATGTTATAGTTCACTTTTCTTAAAGTTTTTTAGTTTTTGTAAAATATATTTAGATGATACGAAAGGGGATTATTGTATAATAGTTTACAAAAAAAAAAAAAAAAAAAAAAAAAAAAAAAAAAAAAAAAAAAAAAAAAAAAAAACGCTACCAAGTTATTTGAAATCCTTTGAAACAAAAAGTTAATTAAGAAGATTTCCTTAAAGTTGTTCCACTTTGATGATTTAGATTTTTTTCTGACACATAACAAAATATTTGTTTAATTTTTATTTATTTATTTATTTACTTTTTGTTTTTTTGTTTCTTACGGAAAATATTAATGCAGAATTGTTCGATTCTCATATCACCAGTTGACATACACATACATGAAAAAAAAAATGTTTTTCCCCAACACCTTTAACTGCGACTGTAGCAGTAAAAGTTGTTTAATTGATTATAAATTATAAGGAAATTGCATCACATTTTCCCTAGTAATAAAATCATTTCCTTATTTTTATACACATCAGCAAAATATTTGCATGGACTTCATTAAGTTCAGACTTTTCCGATTTGTGTCTTATCAACATAAAGAGCAATATCAGTGTAAAATAGTTTTCGAAAAAGCAGCTTTACTACGTTAAATAAAATCCTTTTTAAACAAAAAATTGAATCAAGAAAAACCCATCAAATTCGTGTCGCTTAGAATTCCGTTGCTATTCGTGTAAAATGATTTAGATGATTTTCATTCAATACTTAGTTCAAGATAACTTTACAAATTCTACAACAAAATATTAGTTTAAAATTTTAATTCTTTCTTCAAGTTTGTTTTTTCACGGAAAATATTAATGCAGAGTTTTACTATTATTTAACACTAGTGCACATACATGAAAAAAAAAATTGTTTTCGGCGCACATTTTCAAGTCCTCCTCAAATCAGTGGAAGTTCTTTAATTGATTATAAATTATAAGGAAAATACAATACATTTTCCTTAGTAATAAAATCATTTCCTTACACTTATACACATCAGCAGAATACTTGCTTTAACTCCACCCAAGTTCAAACTTTTTTTATTTATAGATTTAACAACCTACAGATCAATAAATTCTTAAGATGTGTACCCTACAATAATGGGACAGACACTTTCAGTTTTTGATATTTTTTTAAATTTTTCAAGAAGCATTTAAAATATTATTTTATAACATAGAGATGTACAGTTCATGTTATAAATTTTTTATACCTAGTAATAAGATTTATAGCTTTAAGAGGTTTGGGAGACCGACAATGAATTGCGGAAGAAAGCAAGTATTTTTGAACACCCTATGCCAGAAAAATCAAGTAATAAGCTTGTAACTTACATAGATTACTTAAGCGGTTAATTTTAATAACTGCATAAAATTTCGTATTCTTAGCTTAAATATTTGTGAAAATATGGTAATTTATATTAAAAAAAAAAGTTTTTTTGTTGCCATAATATAAATATTCAATGGAAGTAAACAAAATTTTTGGAGCAATTTAAAACTGATTACAAATTTATTAACATAAAACTTAAAGAAAATTAGTTTAAAACTGCACAAGAAATGAGTATTTAAAATAGTTCTTTTATACTGTGCATGCGCTGAAAAAATATTATAAACTTTTTTTCTTCATAATTTAGTAGTGAATCGTATTTGGCAACTACAAATAAAAGTTTTATTTGAATATTTTAAAAATTTAGAAAGTTTTAAGCAATTGTCTAAGTAGTTTTTGTACTTAAGAGAAAGCTCAAGGGTTTTCCATATCGGGGGTTTTTCACAAATTTTATTTTGTATCACAAGACAAAATTTAATAACAAATGATAATACCTTACAATAATCATCCGGAAACCAAAATGTTATATTATAAGGAAAGAAAACATTATTTTACGGGTGATGATCCATTTAGTAATTCTTGTTTAATAGTACAAAATGAAGATTGGGGAAAACCCCTTATCGTTTTGAGCTTTCTTGACGAGTACAAAAACTATTCAGTAAATTGCTTGAAATTTTTCAAATTTTTAAGATATTCAATTAAATTTTTAATATAGTAGCCAAATACGATTCACTACAAAATTATGAAAAAATTTTCCTTATATTTTTTCTGCGCATGCGCAATATAAAAGAACTACTTTTAAATACTCATACCTTGGACAGTTTTAAGCGAATTTTTTAAAATTTTATATCAAAAGATTTATAATTAATTAAAAACTACTACAAAATTTTTGTTTATTTCCATTGAATATTTATAAAGTTAAAACGCAGAAAAAAGGGGGAAAAAAGATAACGTAAGACAAAAAAAATGTGTTTTTTATGAATATGTCCATATCTCCACCGTTAGGCTTACGAAATTTTATGCAGTTATTAAAAATAACAACTTAAGTAATCTATATAAATTACAAACCAATTGCTTGATTTTCTGACATAGAGTGCTCAAAAATACTTGTTTTCTTTCGTAATTTATTGTAGGCCCCCAAACCTTTGAAAGCTTCAAATTTTGAGTATGTATGTGAGAAAAATATGAAAAATCGCATGTACTAAACACTTCTAGATTTACAAAATAATGCTTTCAGTATTTCCTGAGAAATTTTAAAAAATGCCAGAAACTGATCACTTTCATTATTGTAGGGTCGTATATAGTAATATATAAGGATGAGATGTTTTTTTTTAAACAATAATAAGACTATTGAAATAGTTTATAATTAATAGTTTTTTTAAAAAATTGAATTGTGCATTTTTTTAAGTTCTTTAGATTTACTACAAATGAATAAATGTATCCAGTATTTTCTGAATTAAGCAAACTTCGTGAGTAAGGTCTCCTATATTTGGAAGTATAAACTTAAATTGTTGATTTTAATTTTGGATCAAAATTGTTGATATTAAGAGATAGTCTTTTCTTAATCTTATTATTATTATTTCATAGGGTTCGGCTCCAGTCAGCGTATTCCCATGTTACCCTTTTTTGGTAAAATTCATAAAAAAAAAATTAATAAAATAAATAATTTTCTTATTAGTTAAAATAAGTCTTAATTTGTTAATATTTGCCAATATCTTTTTTACATGCCTATATACCTTTTTTTTTTTAAAGAAAGAAAAAAAAGTAAGAGAATCTGGTTGATTACTTGAAGATTTCCGATATGAATTCAAGTGTAATCACAAACGAAAAATTCCGGCAACTAAGTTAACAGAATTTTTCGATTTTCAAATGACTCTTTTCAGTGAAAAAAAAAAAGCTATGCGTGCGCATGAAGAGTTGATAATTAAAAAATTTTTCTCGTGGATTACTTGGGACAGCTACGTTTTCAAATTGCATAGGAGTTTTTTTCTGGAGAGAATACCACGATTTCATTTAGAAATACGATTTTAAGGATTAGTTTAAGATGTAAAAATGTCCTCTGTTGGAAAAAAATGTTACTTAGCAACTATTTAAAAAAAAAAAAAAAATTGTCCGATACTCTTTATATTTATTTATCCTCTGGTACTTTAATCCCTGTTGGAATACTATTACATTGTATATGTTACAATACATAAACTGTATTAAAACGTGTGCGACTTTTTTTCTTCTTTCTTTCTAGAAATTTTGCTTTAGCATAAATTTTATTTAAATATTCTGTAAGGAGCAGGTACGGTGCAGGTATGAAAAAAATAAGCTAGTACATATACCAAGAATATACGCATGAGCATGAGCATAATATGTAGATTGAATTAGGGTACTGGATATAAAAAAAATCTGAAAACCTAAAAGTCTTTTAGAAAATCTTTTCTAAATTGTCTATGCTATATTTACTATTTATCAAAAATCAAGAGAAAAAAGTTACAGCGATAGTCTTTGCCTTTAAAATATACAGCAACGGGAATTATTTCTGTTTCAGTTTTTTTATTGTAT